GGGGACTGTCCGTCCCAACCGTGTGCTCCGCACAGCCAGGCACATGTGATTTACCTTTTAATGTAAAAATATTTTTAAAAATTCTGTGTAAGTAATTTTCCTTTTGCAACTTACTGCCACCCCACGCGGTGCCCCCCAGACATGGCCAGTGGTGGCATGGCCGTACACAGCTGCTGTCACGGCGCAGGCTCCGTCTGTGGGTCCCCACCACCTACCTTACGTTCTCCGCTTGGTGTTTGGGGTTTTTCTAATTTTTTGCAATTACCGACAGTAATCTGTGCCCAGCCAAGGAATTGCCGGACTGAGGGATGCCCCCCTTCAAGCTGGGCGGGCGTGGCCAGCAGCCCTGGCGTCTTCTGGCCATCGGCGCTTGCTGCCGTCAGACTGTTTCTTATTCTGCTGTCCGCCTCGGGCGTTCCTGAGCCGTTGGAAACCAAGTCACAGGCACGAGCCTTCGAGGAACGAGAACCTCCTCGATAACCCGCTGTCACCCCACCACTGACGCAAGCAAGTGTCTCAAAATGCTGCTGACGGTTTGCGTTTTGACGTCACGTCCGGTCAAGCTCACGCATTTCATTTCATTGTCACGTCGCCTGAGTCTCCTGTGCTCCAGGACCGCCCACCGCTGTTCATACTTTTAGGGCAGGGACAGTCGGGAAGCATCTTGGCCAGGGGTCTCGCAGAGGGTCCCGCCGCCTGGATTTGCCGTTTCTTTGCAGTTAGACTCGGGTTCGAGGCGCTGACGAGAATGCCGCTGAGGGGTGTCGCGTTCCCGGTGCATCTCGGGGAGGCCGAGCTGCCGATGAGTCGCCCGTGGTGACGCTAAATCCGTCTAAGGTGGCACCCGCTGGTTTTCTCTACTTAGGCGGCACTTTGAGACTGGATGGTCTAACTGCCGTGGCTCCTCCCCGACGACTTTGGTGTCCGTGGGCGACCTTGCCCCGTTGTGGCGCCACATCAGTGGTGGCACGATGGTGCTTTCGAGTTCCGTCTCTGTCCTTTTGCAGAAGGGAGCTTCTCCTCCCCCTGACTGACGCTCGTATTTCCGCCATCTGACGTGTGCTCTTCATTTGACTCCTACTGAATACCTTTCACGCAGGTGCCGACCACTCAGGTTCTCGTCTCTGAGCGCTGCGTCCGCCCCCTTGCCCAGTTTTCTGCCTTTTTCCTAACGGGCCCCACGTCCTGTACAGCGGGGAGAACCGAGGCTTCGTCGGTGACACGCGCGACAAGAGGGTCTTTCTGCACGGCCGGTGGTGTCTTTGACGCAGAGACGTTCGTTCACCAAAACCTTACTTTTTCCTACCGGCTGTGCCAGTCCCCCACTTTATGCTTTGTGGTTATGTCTTGTTTAAGAAATTTCCCCTGTTGGGAGAGCTTCCTGCCACTCTCCGCTGCGTTGTATTTTATTTTGTTTTTCAAGCTGGAATGTTTTCTTTGTCATGCGCGGTCTTTGAGTGAGGGGAGGGCGCGAGGCAAGGCAGCACCTTCATTTGACGTGTTCTCTACGAACGTGTAGCTGTTCGGGCACCGTCTCTTCACGGGTACCCGTGGCCCGACCGCCGAGGCCCCCATGTGTGGGGCCTCTCCTCCCTCTGCCCTGTGCCGCCGGGAGCCAGCACCGCCGCCTCAGATGCGCTGGGAGGACCCCAACCCCAATCTGCTCTTCCCACAGCCCCGCTCCCCTGCACCCCTGTGCTAATTTCAGAGCCAGCCCGTCTGTTTCCGCAGGAAGCGCTGTGGGAATGCAGTTGAGTTGCCTGAATTCACAGATCAATTTAGGGAGAATTGACATTTATGATATTGCATCTTTCTCTTGACGGAGTCTCTGCTCGACGAGAATTCAGTCAGTCTCCCGAGACTTCTCCTAGGCCCACCCGCGCCCTTCCCGGCAAAGTCGGTCTCAGCAAGCTCTGCTCCTCGGCGGGCGAGAGCCCCTCTGCATCCTCCCCTGCCCGCGGGGGACGTCTGGTCACCCCAGCCTGACCTGTCAATTTACTCGGCAGGAACCCTCGGCCCCAGGGTTGCCCACCCCAGTCCTGGGCTCCGCGTCCCGCTGCCTCGGGAGTGCGTGTGCAGCACCGAGCCCCGTCTCTGTCCCCCTCTGCGTCACAGCAGCTCCTGCGCCTGCTTTGAGGGCCCCGGATGGCGTCTGCCTCACTCGGCGCTAGCCGGCGTCGCCGGACAGTTCTTTCTTTCACGCACTCCTGGAACACAGTGATGACCTGCAGTTATTGGGGTTTTCTGTAACGTTTCTCAGTAAAGTTTTACTTTGTTTACTTTCTCTGTAATTGTTGTGCACATCTTTTGTTAGGTATGTTATCACATGTTTTTAAAATTTCCTTCGTAAACGGTGTCTTTGAACATGGCCTTTCCTCACTCGATGTTGCGAGCACACAGGGAGGTGTCGGTTTTCGTATCTCGCTCACGCACGGCGGCCCCGAGCTCTGCTCAAGTCTGACAACGGGGATCGCGGCTTCCTGCGGGTTCCCCGCGAGACGGTTACGTGGCTGGGAGCCTCATAGCTCCTTCCGGGCCTGGAGGCTCTGGTCCTACCGCTCTGGGTGAGCACGGGCCGATCGGCAGTGGCCGCCGGAGGCTGACGTTCCTGCCTGACTCCTGACCGTGAAGGTGACGTCTGTGTCGTCGCGGACGAGCCCCCACTCCGCGCTGGCTAAGATCGCATGAACGGTGCCGTGCTTTCTCCAGTGTTTTGTGTGGTCCGTAAACCCTTTGCGTGTTGTGGACACGTGTCCCTGCGTCATTCAGCTTTCTGGTGTAAAACTATCTTCACATCGAAAAAGACCCCCTTGGTCCAAACGTGATTTTAAAAAATTCGCAGTGCTTTTGGCGGGAGATGCTTAACGACGGGTTCGACGTCTTTAACGTGAATCGGTCTATTCAAGGTTGGTGCTTCCCCTCGCGTCAGCTCCGTGAGTTACAGCTCTCCTGGGAAGTGGCCGTTTTTTCCAGTTTTCAAATATATTTTCATAAAGTTGTTCACAGGATTCTTTGACTGCAAACTCGATCTCTGCGCTATCTGTAACTGGGTCCGTCCGCGAACGCCGTCCGTGTCTTTTCCCTCCACCTGGTCGGCACGCCCGGCTCGGGCGGCGGCGGCGGCCTTGTCACAGAGTTTTCTTCTCCATTAATTTTTGGGTTTTGGTTAACTTCTTTGTTTACTGTTATTTCCACACCTCTCTGTTTCTTAATTTTAGTTTTTTGTTCATTTTCTAACTTCTTAAATTAGATATATAATTTATTCAAATTTGGATTTTCCCTCTTTTCTAACACAAGCATTCGGGGCCTGGCCCTGTCCCCTCTGCGTCCCCGAGGGTCGATCCGTGGCTCTTCCCTCTAGCCCAGCCCCCCCTGCTTCCTGCCATCGTGGGTGGCGTCCTGTTCGGCCCGTGAACTACGGGGAGTGTTTGCACGTTTCTGAACACCTGCTAAAAGAGGCACCTTCTAGGTGGGCCCTGACGGGGCCACAGGGGGCTGACGGTGGCCGGACATTCCTGCCTAAGCGTGCTTAGGTCCTCGCCGGCAGCCAGCCTTTGTCAGCCTTCCCACTGTCCTCGAGTCTGGCGACACGGCGCCCTGGCAGCATCCGTCTGAATCCTGGACGTCCTTCCGCCCCGTGCTGCGCCTCCTCGGTCCACCAGTTACCTGGACGTGCGCCCCACCCACGATTCACCACTGCCCTGACGTGACGCATCTGCCGTGACCTCATGAGCGTTGTGCATCACCGGCTGCGGTGACCCGAGCCCCGTCGCTGTCCCCAGCACGGGTGTTTGCCTCCTGTCCACCCTGTGCCACGCGGGTGCCTTTCAGAGCAAGGCCGCGCAGCCAGGCTGGTGATACCGGATCAATGGGCTCCGTGGGTCAGTACGTTCAGGTGTCCACCTTTGCGTTACGGGAGCAAAGCGCGAGGGCACGCGTAGTGCGCTTAAGCCTGCTGCGCGCGCCTGCTGTGGGGTGCAGGGAGGTGCGTGTGCGTGGTCGGGGGCGTTGCCGTGTGTGTGGAGGAGCGAGGGCTGGTGGGTGTGTGGGGCGTGTGTCATGTCTGCAGGAAGGAGGGCCTGCGTGCGCCTGCCTGTGGTCACGCACGTGTGCTGGGAGTGTGCCCGTGCAGGTACAAGTCGTGTTTGTGGGGGTGCGTGTGCTACACGGGGGTTCCACCGTGTCTTCAGGGCCCAGCCAGCCCATCGGCCCCGGCCCCTCCCCGACCCCACGGCAGCCTCCCAGACGTGACCACCTGCCCGGAGCCTGGCTGGGGCGGCCGTTCTGGGCTCACAACCCTCCTCCATGAATGCTCTGCTGTGCGAGGCTCTGTGTCTTGATCCAATTTCTGTGATTTATATTTTCCGTAATTCTATTTGGTCAGGACTTTCGCATTTATTACACAGTTGTGCACTGTGCTTTCTGCGCTATAGAAAAAGCCATCTGTGTCTGCCGCGCTTGCTGTCTGGTGGGAAACGCGCTGTCTGCATTCCTCTCCCCGCGATGCGGCGGGCCCCGCAGAGGGAGCTCGGGGTGCAGCCCGCGTGGGGGGCTCGCTCAGCGTCTGCCCCCTTTCTGGGGGAGCCTGCCGTGTCCCATGGTGCTGCCCCCTGCTGCCTCCACTTCTGCCAATGGGCAGGGGCTTTTCGGGCTGGGCAAAGACCCCCCCTGAATTGGAGAGTGGAGGGGCATGTGGGCTGGGGCAGGGGACATGGGGGCGTTCTGGGGTGAAAGTCACAGGCAGAGTGTGGATGGGCGTCTGGGCCCCATGCTTGTGGCACCGTCTGGCATGGCCATAGTGGCAGGTGACATGTGGCCAGTCCTCTCCTGAGTTGGTCCCTGAGGCGGGCACCCACCAAGACGCTTCTGCCCGCAGGCAGCCCCCACCCACCATGGCAGTCCCCTCGAGGGCCCCGTTCATGAGCAAGCACACGCCGGAGGAGGGGAGTCTGCTGGCTTTATTCACAGACCCCAGGGGACAGGGACAGCGAGGACAGAGATGCAGGGGGTGCTCCAGGGTGGCCCCTTCGTCCCCAGGATTGTCACAGAACCACAGAGGGAGCCTCGGCACGGGGGCTGGAGGACGAGGAGTGCCGTGCGTGGGCCTGGGAGGGAGTGAGGGCCCAGGGTCTCTGCCTTGGGGGGCCTCTTCCGCCCCCTTACTTCCAGCGCCCGCCGACCTTGCCTTTGGCCGGGGTTCCGGCCTTCTTGCTGCTGCAAACGGGAAGCAGATTGCTCGTGAGTGTCCGGCCGAGCCATGGAGGGCAGCCCTGTGAGGCCAGGCCTTGGGCCGGCCAGGCCAGACCCCAGCCCGACCGCTCTGCCCCCCTGTCTGCTGGAGGGGACAACCCGTCCCCGACTTCCCCGGCACACACACAGCTTCAGTCCAGCAGTGCCGACTCACCTGTACCGGGCCTGGCCGCGGCCTGGGCGATTAGCGTGTTAGGAGGGGCTGCCGCGCGAGCCGGGACCCTCTACACCTGAGGCGCACCCTCCCGCCCACCCCTCATGCTCCCTACAGACGGGCCACCGGGGGGAAGGCTGTCGTGGCAGGTGACCGCCACCTTCCCAGATGCTTCAGCGTGGGAAGAGCCTGTGCCCCTCTGGGCGGCAGCCTGGGTGCAGCGGTCCTCAGGGACCGACCTGGCTGTCTGTGGCCCTTTGAACGGCTGGAGGGCAGGGAGGGCGCTGTGTGCTGGTCAGTGCACGGCAGGCGGGAGGACGAGAGCATCTGAGCTCCGGGGCGGCCCCGGGCAGACATGTTCCTGAGCACTGCACACGCATGTGCATGCAGGCACGTGCACATGCACACACAGTTGCACGCTCGCCTCCGAAGGGGCCTGCAATGAGCCAGGACCTCGCCGCAGGGACGGGGGCCACGTGCTTGCCCCCCCAGCCTCCCTTCGTGGAGGGGGAGCCTGCCCGGGAGCGCAAACAAGCGGGCTCGCAGGAGGAGGGAGGGGATCCCAGAGACGCTGAAGCTCTGGGGTCCTGGGGGCACGTGAACTGGCTGCAGGGTGGGCGCCGGCGCGAGGTCACCTCGGACCCTGGGTGCAGGCCCCAGGTGGTGAGCAGCTGTCCTAGAGGATCCACTGCCCACGGGGACACAATGTCACGGGCAGAGGGGTCACCACCCTGAGGAATCGGTGGCTTTGCTAAGCGTCACGGAGGGCTGGTGACAGGGCCCAGCCTCCTGACTCCCTGCAGCCAGTGCGGACGCAGGGGACGGTGTCCCAAGGGCCCCGCCTGGCTGCCTCCTCCTGGCGGGCGCATGCGGGTGAGAAGGGGCTGTGGGCCCTGCACATGCTGGCCCGAGGCCGCCGCCCGCCCGGTTCGGGCTTGGCCGGAACGCCGGGCGGGCGCCGGCACAGGCTACTCACTGCTTCTGGGCCTGGTCGATGCGGCTCCTCAGGTTGGTGATCTGCAAGGACACAGCCCACTCACCGTGGCGCCCAGGGAGGGGGACGGCAGGCGCAGCGCGACCGGACCACGCTGCCTCAGGCCTCCTGTGGCCCCGCAAGGCGCTCAGCTGCCTTACTGTGTCCTGGTTCCGTGGCCCTTGGGCGCGTGGCTCTGACTCGCTCTGGCCGCCTGTGCTGGCCTGGCCTGAGCTCCCACACACGCAGCTCCGGAGCCGGCCACTTACCTTCCAGCCCACGGGATGCGGGGCGGGGCTTGGCGGGGCCAGCGGGGGAGGCCCGCAGGCCCCTTCTTCCCAGCCCCCAGCTCCCTCCTGGCCACGGAGCTCGAGGCCTCGTGGTGGCAGCCCTCTTGCTGCACCCGGCTAGTGGTGGAGCCCTTGCTCGCCTGCCAACAAGGGCGGCTCAGAAGCCACCAGACCACAGGCTCGAGGGAGGAGGGGCGGGAAGGAGGCTCCGGGCCCCCTGCCGCCAGCGTCCTGAGCCACCCGGGTCTTGCCATGCGAGAGGCTGGCCGTGCACTGCACACATGAGCCTGGCCACGGGGCTCTGCTACTTACAACTTGGCCAGCATCTGCACCCTGGCCCGGACATTCATGATCTAGAGAGACCGAGACGGTTATGTGGCTGGATGGGCAGCGTGGCCTCAAGGCCCCACAGGGCACTGGGCTTGCCTGGCCGTGGCCCTCCAGGCTCTCTGAGCCCCCGGGACCGATGTGGACAGAGCACACCCGGAGGTGGCGGGTCCCTGGCTCACTCTGGGATGGTGCGGTGAGGCCCATCCTGGGGCCAGCCCCTCCAGGACAGCCTTGTCCCCCATGCCTGGGCCACGCTGGCCTGCAGGGGGGCATCTCCTCCTGCGACAGCTCCCGGAGGGGGCACATCCTGCCTCCGCTAGAGGTGAGGAAACCGAGGCACAGACAGATGGTGGCTTGCCCTGAGCACCTGAAGAGCTGGGATGTGCCCGTGGAAGGTCTGGGAGGCCCGTGAGCATGAACGGCCCCCCAGCGACACGGGGGCGTGAGGGGTGGGCAACGCAGCTTTGATGGTGAAGCTGGAGGTGTCTGTGTCTGCACGGAGCGCACTGTCACGCGAGACTGGCACCCCACCGCGGGCCCACGCGGGGCTTCAGAGAGCGGTAGGTGCCCCGATGCCCTCCAGCTGCGCAGAGAGCCCTGCAGGCCTCCCTGGCCCCAGCTCTGCTCCCCCCGCAGCGCCCACCGGGAAGGCTTCTCCCTTTCCTGGGTCCCCCGGGCCACCCTGGGGGGCCGGCCCCCTTCCCAATGGGTAGAGGAGGGTGTCGCCCTCTCGCCTGCGCTGAGGAAGCAGATGTCTCAGCGGCGGAAGCTGCGAGGGAGGGACACCCCTGCACCAGAGGGACTCGGTGCCCCAGAAGTGAGCTCAGCCACCTGGGGGCTTCCTGAGAGCCCCAGGAGTGTGGAGATGGGCCCTGAGGCCTCTCGGCTGCCTGCTCCCTCCTGACGGCCCCACTGCAGGGTGGAGGACAGGCCCTGGCAGGACAGGGGCCACGGCCGGGGCCAGTGGGGACAGTGGGAACAGTGAGGACAGTTGGGACAGTGGGAACAGTGAGGACAGTGGGGACAGTGGGAACAGTGAGGACAGTGGGGACAGTGGGGACAGTGGGGACAGTGGGAACAGTGAGGACAGTGTGGGAACAGTGAGGACAGTGGGGACAGTGGGGACAGTGGGGCCAGTGAGGACAGTGGGGACAGTGGGAACAGTGAGGACAGTGGGGACAGTGGGGACAGTGGGAACAGTGAGGACAGTGGGGACAGTGGGAATAGTGGGGACAGTGGGAACAGTGGGAACAGTGAGGACAGTGGGAACAGTGGGGACAGTGGGGACAGTGGGAACAGTGGGAACAGTGAGGACAGTGGGAACAGTGGGGACAGTGGGGACAGTGGGAACAGTGGGACAGTGGGAACAGTGAGGAGAGTGGGGACAGTGGGGACAGTGGGAACAGTGAGGACAGTGGGGACAGTGGGGACAGTGGGACAGTGGGAACAGTGAGGACAGTGGGGACAGTGGGAACAGTGGGGACAGTGGGAATAGTGAGGACAGTGGGGACAGTGGGAACAGTGAGGAGAGTGAGGACAGTGGGACAGTGGGGACAGTGGGGACAGTGAGGACAGTGGGGACAGTGGGAACAGTGAGGACAGTGGGGACAGTGGGGACAGTGGGACAGTGGGAACAGTGAGGAGAGTGAGGACAGTGGGGACAGTAGGAACAGTGGGGACAGTGAGGACAGTGGGGACAGTGAGGACAGTGGGGACAGTGGGAACAGTGAGGACAGTGGGGACAGTGGGAACAGTGAGGACAGTGAGGACAGTGGGGACAGTGGGAACAGTGAGGACAGTGGGGACAGTGGGGCCAGTGGGGCCAGTGAGGACAGTGGGGACAGTGGGAACAGTGAGGACAGTGGGGACAGTGGGAACAGTGAGGACAGTGGGGACAGTGGGGCCAGTGGGGCCAGTGGGGACAGTGGGAACAGTGAGGACAGTGGGGACAGTGGGGACAGTGGGGACAGTGGGAACAGTGAGGACAGTGGGGACAGTGGGGACAGTGGGAACAGTGAGGACAGTGGGGACAGTGGGGACAGTGGGGACAGTGGGAACAGTGGGACAGTGGGAACAGTGAGGAGAGTGGGGACAGTGGGAACAGTGGGAATAGTGAGGACAGTGGGACAGTGGGGACAGTGGGGACAGTGGGAATAGTGAGGACAGTGGGACAGTGGGGACAGTGAGGACAGTGGGGACGGTCACACCGGCTTCTCAGGGCCTAGGGCGCCAGGCGGGCAGGGTGGCGATGGGGACACAGGGAGGAGCTCCCTGGCGGCGGTGCCTACACTCACGTCGTATCTCTGGCGTTTCAGCTTCTCCCCGTATTCAAACTTGTCAGTCTCGAGTCTGTACAGGGTGTCCCAGAGCTCCTTGGCCTTGTCCCTGGGGAGGTGGACCAGGTGAGGCCTGGCTGCAGAAGCCACACAGGCCGTGTCCAAGCCCTTCCTGTCCTCCCACAGCCGCAGGAACGGCCACACAGCCCAGGCCACCCTGCCGCCACGCTCGTCGCCGGGCAGCCTCCCTCACCTCAGCTTGTCGTCGCTGAGGTGGTCGATGTTGAGTGGCTTCCGTCTCTCAGCAAGAATCTTCTTCTTCATCTCTCTGGCCGTCTGCTTCTTGCCTCTCTTCTGGTCAGCCTGGCAGGGACAGGGCGGGGCCTCCTGGCCTCAGCGGGGCTGGCAGATGGCAGCTGCCCCAGCTCCCACCCTGTGCCCGCACGCACCTTGGCCAGGTAGCTGCTGTAGTTGGCTCCCATGGAGGACAGAGCCTTCTTCTTCTTCAGGTCGTCCTCAGCTCTCCTCTTGGCATCCTCCTCCTCCCGCCTGGCCTTTTCCTCCTGCGGAGACCGGTCCCCAAGCCCTCAGGGTTGGGGGAGGGGCGGCGCTCTGGGCAGGGGTCAAGGAACGTGCCGGAAGGAAGCTCCGGGTCCTGGCCAGGGTCTGTCAGGGGGTCCGTGGGGCGGGGCCTTGGCCAGCAACTCTGATCGCTGGCCACTGGTGGTGGGACCCCCCAGAGAAGAGGGGCCGACACCCCGCATTTCTCAGGGCCCGGGGCTCAGCAGCGGGGGCGGGGCCCCGTCCTCACCGCCAGCCTGTTCTGGCGCTCCCGCTCCTTCTCGGCGCGAATCCTCTGCTGCTCAGCTCTCTCTGCACGACGCTTCTCCTGTGGCCAGAGGCACGGTCAGCCCAGCGTCGCCTACCCCAGCCCCCGAGATGCCCAGCACCCCTCCAGCCGAGCCTCCGGCACGCACGATTCTCTCCTTGAGAGCTACCAGCTCCTCCTCCTCCTTCTTCCGGGCCTCGAAGTGGCTGTCGATGAGAGCCTGGAGCTCCATGAGGTCCTTGTTCTGGCGTTTCTTCTGGATGTCCTGCGGGTGGGAGAGGATCCATGGCCACCATGCAAGCCGACAGTGGCAAGGGGCCTTCCGTCCTCCCCACACCCCTATGGCTGCCGTCCTCCCAGGGGCCTGGCGCAGGCAGGGGACGGTGCCCTTCCTGTCGGGGAAGCCGAGGCCCTGCCCAAATAAGAGGCCATCAGCACCCCTGGCACGGGCAGGCTCTGCCTTGGCTCTGCCCATCTTCCCAGTGGCCCTGCGTGGCCTGGCAGAGGGAAGACTGTGGTCAGACAGGTGTGTTAGATGAAGAGATGGGCAGGTGTGTTAACAGATGGCTGGAGGGAGGGATGGATGTGTGGGAGGGTAGATGGAGGGGTAGGTTGGAGAAATGGGTGGGTGGATGAATGGATGGGTGGGAGTGTGGATGGGTGGGTGGATGGAGGGGTGGGAGGATGAAAGAGTGGGTGTGTGGATGGATGGATGGGTGATGGCTTGGTGGATGGATGGGTAGGTGGTTGGATGGGTAGACTGGTGAATGGATGGGTGGATGGATGGATGGATGGATGAGTGAGTGAGTGGATGGGTGGATGGGTGGATGGGTGGATGGGTGGATGGATGAGTGGGTGGATGGGTAGATGGGTGGATGGGTGGATGGGTGGATGGGTGGATGGGTGGATGGGTGGATGGGTGGATGGATGAGTGGGTGGATGGGTAGATGGGTGGATGGGTGGATGGGTGGATGGGTGGATGGGTAGATGGGTGGATGGGTGGATGGATGAGTGGGTGGATGGGTAGATGGGTGGATGGGTGGATGGATGGGTGGGTGGATGGATGGATGAGTGAGTGAGTGGGATGGGTGGATGGGTGGATGGGTGGATGGGTGGATGGGTGGATGGGTGGATGGGTAGATGGGTGGATGGGTGGATGGGTGGATGGGTGGATGGGTAGATGGGTGGAGATGAGTGATTAGGTGGGTGGATGAGTGGGTGGATGGGTGGATAGGTGGATGGATGGATGGGTGTTGTGGTAGATGGGTGGGTGGGTGAATGGATAGAAGAATGGATGGGAGAGAAAGGAAGGCAGATGTCTATTCTTAGGGGAGTATCCTCTGGTCCAGGGGTGAATTATGGTACAATTGCCTGGAACCAGGAAGCCCCACTCTGTCTACTTGGGAGAGATGACCTTCTGAGCCCCAGCCTGGAGCCGGAAGGCTGGGGTGTGGGGGTGGTGGCTGTGTTGATCTGAGTGTCACAAACTTACATCGAAGTCTACTTTCTCCCCTTCTGGGATCTTAGGAGCAGTCGGGAGTCTGAAAGGGAGAGAGAGAGGCTGGTGAGCAGGACCACTGGAGACGTTGCTGGAGGGCTGGTCTGGCCCCTCGGGCCCCAGCCGCAGGCCCCGCACCAGCTGAGAGCGCCTGGCTCAGGGCACCTGGCCTGAACTTCTTGTCAGGTTTACAACCTGCCCTCCCGGCCGTGCTTGGCCCCTTCGAGAAGGGTCCACCTTTCGGTGCCCCCCACTCTGCGGCTCCCGGACACGGCAGTGCTGCCTCCGCTCACCTGCCAGGGGCCCCTCGGTTTCTCTCTCACACACGTGAGCAGACACAGCTGGCCCAGCCGGATCAGAGGCCCCGTGGCCATCGCAGCAGCACCGGCCTCCGTGGCCAGGGTGGGCCGCACAACCCCTCGAGTTTCTCTGGCCACTCTTTAACCTTTCTTTCTGGGGGGGCCGGAGAAGGAGGAGGGGGCTGGGAAGAAAGCCCGTGGAAGAGGAAGAAGGGCCTCCATCCGGCTGGGGTGCGACCCCTCCTCCCACCAATACATTCCAGACGGAGCAAATAGTTAAAACAACAGCAATTTTTTAAAACAAGCCGTAGAAGAACGTGGAACTGAATATTGATCAAAAACTAGAGTGGGAAAGGGTTTCCTGAGCTCCAAGCACCAGGTCCCTCTACGGGAAGGACAGCCAGATGGCTCCGTGCAAATGAAAAACTCATGCATGTGAAAAAAGCAAAAATCGAAAGGCAAAAAAAAAAAAAAAAAACCAGACTAAAAAAATATTTTCAGCAAATACAGAGGAGACTTATATCCTTATGCAAACTGATGATTAAGAAAACATAGAGACGCCTCCGCCGTTAGATAAATGAGCGCGGCGCACAAGCCGCCCGTTCTGGGGAAGAAAGGCGGCAGTGAGCGGCCGCCCGGCCGCGGCGGAATGTGGGTGCAGCGACCGTGCGAGGCCGTTTCTCATCCATCAGAGGCCGGGACGTCAAAGCACGCTTCTGTCCCCGGGCGAGGGGTGGGGGGCGCAGACCCGCTCACGTCCCACGTAGGAGCCGGCCTTGGCCGGGCCCCTGTGGAAAGCAATTTGGCAGCGGTGCCAGAGCTGTAAGAACATCCGCACTCTCTGACCCAGTAATTCCAGCGCTGGGCGCGTGCCTAGGGAAATAACCCTAGAGACGGAGAGTGCTTTCCACCGCGCGTTATTTATGGCGGTCAAACACTGGGGAAGCCTGCTACGGGGGACGGGTAGGAAAATTATGGTTTGTCCAATTGATGGAATATTATGTGGCCATTCAAAATATTTAAAAAGACGATGTAAAAACATGGAAAAATACTTATGAATAGTGCTAAATCTTAAAAAGGCAGAATTCAAGGTCGTATAGACAGTATGGTGTTTGAAAAACGGCACAGAGTTTCAATCTTTTTTTCCGAGCCCTCTGCGTGGAAAAAGAGTAGGAAGAAATAGGGCCTTCCGTCTCTTCCTGCTCCTTCCCAGTCTGGCCCACTGGGCGGGAGAATTATAGGTTATTTTTTTTTCATTTGACTTTTACGTATTTTCCAAATTTTCTTTAATGGGGTGTTTTATTTTCATAATGAAAATACAAACAATTTTTCTAAAACGAGAGAATATCTCGTGACCCGCTGCTGCTTGACTCAGAGTTGCAGAGAGCTACGCGCAGAGGACGGAGACGCACCGGCGGGCCCCGGGCACAGTCCCGCTCTTCCCTCGCGGGGCTGCGGCGCCCACGTGGGCGCAGGGACGGGCGTGTGCGCCCCAGTCCCACCCTGCGCAGAGTGAAGCCCAGGCAAGGGCCAAAGGGGCTCGAGGGGGACCCGCATGAGCTGGTCAAAGCCAGGAACGTGGCGGAGCTGCACTGCGCGACTGTCCCCAAAACCCTCGCAAGCCGGGCAAGGCCGTCCTCAGGAGAACTGCTGCCCAAAGGGGCCCAGCAGCCCCTGGGCAGCGAACGCCGTGGTGCGCTGAGAAGGCGCCGTTCTGAAGGGGGTCTGGACAGGACACTCTCTCCCTCCCACCACCCGCCACCGACTTCCTGTCTATTTCCTGGGAGACCCCGCAGTGTGGCCAGGCTCAGCAAAGTCATGAGGGGCCCGTCCCCTGCAACCCCCGCCTCCCCTTCCCTGCCCGACTCTTCCCCACCCTGCAGCACCCCCTCCTTCCTTGGTCGGTCGCCTCCTCCTACAGGAAGCCCTCCTTGCCTACGCTGGAGGACCCGGGCAGACGCCCTCCTGCATCCCTGAAGTCCATTTCTTGGGCAACCCTGGGCCTGTCTGGCCACACGCTTGGGCTTCTCCTCCAAGCCTGGCTCCAGGCCTTCGCCTGCCTGCCCCGGGCACCCGCCCCGCACACACTCAGCGTCCAGCCCTGCCCGGCGCCACACTCACTTGGGTCTCGGCTTCTCTTCTGGTCGCCACCGCGCGGCATGGGGAGGAGAGAGACAGTGAGAGGGGCCCGTGCACTGCGGCTGCCGCACAGCACCTCAGCCGGGCCCGGGACCACCTTGCTGGGGGCTCCCTGGGCCCTGTCTGGGGCCGCCTGCGTCTCGGCTGAACTCACTGCCCCCCTCCCCCCACGCCCCCGAAACAAGAGGGTCTTGTCCCCGTCCAGGCCTGTGACAGCCCCTGGTGTGTCCGAGGAGGGCTCAGGACGTGGGGCCAGGAGGAAGGGAGGGGAGGAAGAAGAGAAATGAGGGTGCAGCCTCTTCAGAAGGTGGGAAGCGGGGAGGGAGGAAGGAGGAGACGGGGACAGGGGTCGGGGCAATGGGGAAAGAAAGGGCTCAGGAGAAGGCACCCCGACAGGTGCCAGGGCCCCCCGGGCTGCCGTCCTTGTGCAGCAGGGAGGTGTCCGAGCCCCTGCCAGGCGGAGAGAGGCCCAGCAGGTCCTCTCCGTCCCTTGCGGGCAGAGCCGGGGTCCCAACCTTCCAGATCCTTCTATGGCTCCTCCGCGGCACAAGCGCGCGTGCAAGAGAAAAGCCGCGCAGCTGCAGGGGGGTGGACTGGGGTGCAGGAGTGGATGGGGGCCCTGTCTCCTGCACCCTCTCTTGCCCGCGGACGCCTCTGCCTGGACCCCAGGAGGCCCCAGTTGGGGCCAGAGAATTGCTGTCTGTGGACAGGTGACGGCTGGCGCCCAGGGGACCCCTGCCCAGAAGGCCTAGCGAAGCGTGGGAGGGGTACCGGACCTCACCCAGAAGGGCCAGGGGTGCTGTCCCTCGGCAGTCCCTGCGTCTGTGCCCCGGGTCTGTCCTGTGGGTCTGGCAGGGCTGACCTTGGAATCTGAGACCCTCCCCGACCTAGAGACTTCCGGCTGCGGTGGGCACAGCCTCTGCCCTTGGGCAGTTCCTGGCTCAGGCCTTCGGGGTCCGGCTGAACCCCACAAGTCACAGACGGTTATGTTCACAGAGCCTCTCGGCCCCTCAGCCTGTGGAAGCCTCTGTCTGTGGCCTCACGTCCAGCCCCTGCTAGCCGCAGCCCACGGAGCCCCCGCTGGGGTCGAGAAAGTCCACTGCGGCCCCCCTGGGCGGGAGCCCAGGCCCAGCCACCCGCGGGGGCTCCTGACCTGCGGTGACTGTGTCCTCACCCCGGGGGCTCCTCTCCCGAGGCCGGTGGGCTCCCCGGCTGCCATCTTCCCTCTCCCTCCGTTCCCAGCACTCCAGACCCTACCCCGGGCCGCCGACCCGCCTGGGCTGAGCCTGCCCCATCCTGTCCTCTCGTCCTGCTCTGGGCCTTAGGTGGCAAGGACAAGGTCCCTGACACACGGTGGCCTCTGTCCTCTCTCTGCCCAGCCCAGGAAAGCCCGGCTGAGAAAATGTCTTTGACCACCAGCGCCTGCCTCCACACCTGCCAGGGCCCTGGGCCGGGGTGGGCGGGGTCCCGCCTGGACAGCCCCTTGCCGGGGTGCTTGGCTGGGGCTCCCTTCGCACCCTCCTCATGTGGCAGGTCACGCGGGTGCCTGGGAGCCCGCTGCACGCTGCGGGGAGCCCCCGGACTGCGCCCCTGAGTCCTGCAGGCGGGCCTGAGGTCGCCCTCGCCTGACAGCTTGGGGGCGTGAGCCATGGGGGTAGTCTTGGGGCAGGAGCCTGGCACAGGGGCAGCAGGAGCAGCTTGGTGGGAGCGCGGACCCCTCCCTACTGAGGGCTTCACTGGAAGCAGCGTCCCTGCGGGGTGGGGCCGGGGCAATGGAGGAGGTGGGGGAGACAGTCATGTGGCCAAGCGGGAAAGCGGTCCCAGGGCCCTGCCACCCTGCTCCGGCCGCCAGCCCCCATCCATCCGTCTGTCCGTACGGTCTGTCCCCCTGTCTGGCCTCGGTATGTGTTCCAGAGAGGCCTAGTGGCCCCGTGAGCCCAAAGGCAGGCTGCTGGTCACCTTCCGCCTGCTTGGCCCGGAGTCTGCCCCACTCCTCTCCCCGCACGTCCCTCCGCACGGGCCAGGGAAGGAAGACTGTGGCCCAGGTCGTGCAGCGGTCAGGCCCACCAGCGCTGCGAGTGAGGGGCTGGGAAGAGCTCCCTGACCTCCGTGTGCAGCTCCCGCACCTCCACCCAGGGCAGGGCCCACCCAGGGCCGCCTCACTCCCGGGCGTGTCTGGCTCTGGCTCGGGCGCCGGTGGGATGCTGGGGCCTGACTGATTGCTCCTTTGCACGCATGGCCCCCGGCCGTTCCAGTCCCCACGTCCCCACCTTGGGCCTCAGCTTCACCCCACTCGCCCCTCCCCCTCCCCGCAGCCTCATCCCTCCCTCCGCTTCCCTGTTCTGGCTGCATAACTGGGGCAGGCCCTGTCTCTCTGCCTCTGCTCTCCACCGCTCCACCCTAGTGGATCCGGAGGGTCCCAGTGGACCCAGCATCACCCTCCCAAAGCCTGTTCTGCACGCAGCCTCCAGGCCGGCCACACCCCATGCCCCACCCTCCCTCTGGCGGCCCCAGAGCGGCCTTGTTGCCCACAAGCCCCTGATCGTTCCCTGCCAGGGAGGCCAGGAACAGTCCTGCACCCCGCCAGCCGGTCCCGTCTGAGGCAGGGTCCCCACTCTGTCCCCACCCAGGGGCGAGAACAGGGTCAGTCACGAAGGGCAGGTGGGAGGGGGAGAGGAAGGAAGGACAGAAGAAGGGAAGGGGGCTCGGCCCGAGGACGGGGTGCTGGCGTACCTTCCTGGACTTCCTCTGCAGGGCGGCACCGTGGGGGGAGGGGCGGGAGGGAGAGAGAACCAGCGTGAGTGGAGGGCGGAGGCGGGGCAGAGGAGGTCGGGTTGGGCTAGCGGGGTCTGAGCACAACCGGGTGAGTGGGTTACGCGGCCCTCTTGTTCCTTCTCGGCTCCTGGCACACCCACACTGACCACATGTGCCCATGTGGCTTTGAAGTCATGTCACATACCTGGTTCATGAACTTCATGGACTAAGGAGGGCCATGGAACAAGAGGCAAAACCGCGGGTCAGAGGTCAAAGGAGAAAGGAATCCGAGGTTAATGGAAAAACAGCCCATCGCACTCGAGGCCAAGAGTGGGGCATGTGCGGGAAGCAAGCGGGATAGAGTTAGTCCAGGTACTGCCACCGCCCGGCCCACGTCCCCACATCCTGCCACACGCTCTCAGAATCTCGGGGCAGGAGGGGCCTCAGAGACCTGAGTCCACCCACGACATGTCCTACCCCACAGATGGGGAAACCGAGGCCCAGCGGCTAGTCTGGGATGCTGGCTCTTGCTACTGTGGTGACACCTCATGACTGCTCTGGTTATGGGGACCTGGTCCTTGCTGCCCCACCTCCCGTCTGTCCTGGGGCCCCAGAAGGACTTGGACGCCTCCCGCTGGGGCTGCAAGGCCCCCGCGTCGGGCTGCGGCCTGGTTGAGTGGTGCCAGGGGCTGGGAGGGCAGGGCCTGTGGCCCAGGGAAGCAGAGCCGCAGAGGGCCAGGCGTGGCACACCCAGGACATCCCCGTTTCCTGCACCCAAAGAGAGGAGCACCCACTCCCTTCCTTTCCCTCATGGGGGGTTTCCAGTCTCCCAAGGCACTGGCAGCCCTGGACGCAAATGGCGGCTCGTCCACTGTTCTGAGCACGGGACCCCAGCCTGTCCCCACCCCTCACCTGGCCGCGCCCAAGCAGTCCCACAACAGAGGTCTGTGGCAGGGCCCTGCTGGGGGCTACAGGGGACACCCGAGGGAGGCTGGCTGGCTGGACTGGAGTCCTGGCCCCATGGCCAGTTGGGGGACTCCGCCTCCATCTGCCTCCTCTCCCTGAGAGAGATCTGGCGCAGCCCAGGGTCAGATGCCACCCTGGGCTCTCAGTTCCCCGCCTGGGACAGGGGCCAGGCTGACCTCTGTCTGGTCCTGCAGTCCCCCCACTGCCCTGCGCCCGGGGTGCCCTCCCAACCTAAAGCCCCACCCCCTCCAGTCGGGGGAGCGCATGATCCTGGTGGGGGCCCTGGCTGTGCTCCGTGAACGTGCGGGAGCACGTCGTCCCACCCTCAGGGGCCCGGGCCCTCCCTGGTCAAGCATCGCCATGGTTAGTGGGTTACACGGGGGCCACATGTGGGGGCCCCTTGGCTGACTGGTGCCTCGTGGCTTCCCCGCCCCTCCCCCACCCCCCACGGGCTCCAGCCAGGCCCCGGGCCCCACATGGGGACCAGAAGTCCTGTGTCCTCGTACCTTCCTCGTGGACTTCTGCAGCGAAGGAGCCGGGGCGCGAGGGCCGCAGAGAGGAGAGAGAGGGTTAGACAGGAGCGCACGGCACGACCTTAGAGGCAGGGCGGGGGCGGGGGCCACGACCCAGTGGAGCATCACCGCGGGGTGGAGGTCCTCGGGGCTGGGAGGCCCCGGGGCTGTGGGGGCCGGGGTCCTGGACCCCACTTACCTTCCTCCTGGGCCTCCTCTGAGGGCGGGAGAAGCCGGAAGCAGGAGGCGGCGGGTGGACAGAGAGAGGGAAGGACAGTCGTTAGAGAGGTGCATGTGGGTGGCGGGGACGGGAGGCTGGCCCGCCACGGCCAGCCTGGGGAGCAAGGGCTCCTGCGAGCAGAGGGGTTTCAGCTGCCTCAGGGGCCTCGGGGGGCTCCTGCCCCCTGCCTCAAGGCTCTAGCTCAGCCTCCCTCTGCGGTGACGGGGAGCACAGGACGCAGTCCGAGTGTTTCGGGGAAGCCCTGTGCTGCTGGCCCAGTTCCCACCCCAGGGGGTGGCCCCGGGGGTCTCTGAGTGTGCTGGTGACACCGAAGGATCTTGGAGGACACATGCCACGGCCGCCCCGGGGCCACGGTTCCCACTCAGAAATGAGTCTTTCCACCTTTTCGGCAGAAAAAAGAAATGTTTTGCTCACGTCGTTAGGGTACCCAAGTGTGTCCAAAATATTTTCCAAACAGCGCCCAGAACGCCTCCGCACACCCAAGCTGAGCGAGCGCCAGGGGTTCCACCACGGTGCCCGTCGGGCCTGAGAACCGTGCTCCGCACACTGCCCAGGTGCGCCTGCGCCCGGCACTCCCGCCCGCCCGTGCCCGCCTGGGCCCGGCGCGGTGCCCGCAGACCAAGCCTGGCCTGCGCAAGAGGGGTCTCTGGACTCCACCCGCGCTGCGGCCTGGGCTCAGGGTGGCGTGGAGAGAGGCTGAGAGACACAGAGATGGAGAGACCAGGAGACAGAGACAGAGAGCGGCTGAGAGATACACAGAGATACGGAGAGACACGCAGTTACACTGAGAGGCAGAGACGGATGTGGAGGCAGACGGAAGGCCGCACACGCGAGGCGCTGGACGTCAGCACGAGTGAGGGTCCCGGACGCCGACGCGAGCGCCGGGGACGCGGGCTGGCGGAGTGTTAGAGAACAGTCGGGAGCACACTCACTGATTGCAGAGAGGAGAGGTTAGCGATGACTTAATGATTCAGTCATTAATCGCCAACAAAACAAGTGTGTCGTTAATTGTTAATCAGATCGCTGATCAGTGCTCGCCGTTAGGATGAAGGGACGATGAGGAAGAGGAGGGTTAAGGCCGAGCCGGGGTGGAGAAGGCCTGGGTGGGGCTGCAGGCACCGAGCAGGGGAGGGGTGGGGTTCAGAGGCGGGAGGTCTGGGGACCTCGGGGCGCCGAGGGTGCCAAGGTTACCTTCCTCCTCGTAGGGCTCTGCGTCAGATAGAACAGAGAGAGGGGCCGCGTCAGGGGCAGCGGTGGGGAGCCAGGGTGCCCACGCCTGCGCCGTCCAGCGGCTTCCCCTGGCAGGGCGGGGCGGGTGGCGGGATGAGGGGTCCCCGACCCAAAGGGGCGGCTGGCGCTGGAGGGGGCCAAGCCTCTGGCGATGGTGGCGGCTTTGGGGAAGGGGTTGTGTGTGCTGGGTGCCCACATCCTACCGTGGGCACAAAGGATGCAGAGAGGGACAGGACAGGGAGGCCCCTCGGGGCCACCAGCCCTCGCTGACCGCTTTGCAGTGTGAGCCGGAGGTGACCCCGTCACAGGTGCCGGGCCATTTCCAGAGGGGTCGCTCCGAAGCCCACCTGTGGAACGTAGCGAATCCAGGGATTCCAGGCCAGGGGCCCAGGGGAGGGCCGGCCACCCGCACCCAGCCCCTCCCCCAGTGTGGCCTTCCCGCCTGGGGTACACGTGGGAAGAGAACAGCTGTGACACTTACCCTCGACCTGCTCACTGTGCCGCGAGGCGGTGGGGCGGGGTGGGGGAGAGAGAGAGAAGGGTGAGGTGGCTTTGCCGGGGCAGGTTTGCAGCAAACGTCAGCATGTCCCCCAGACTCTGCGCACAAGCCAGGGGCCGGGTCCCCGGGCTGGGCGAGGAGAGGCCACTCGGACCGGTACTCACACTTCCTCGTCAGACATGGTGGGGCTGGGTCCTTTCTGCAGAGAGAGAGAAAGGGCCGAGAGGACGCTGGAGTCGCCTGGGTTTGGAAGTGCCGGGACGGGTGGGGGTGGGTGTGAGGGGGCACCCACGGACAGGGGACAGGGCGTGTCCCCCTCCCGCACGCGGGGCCTCCTCACGGCCCCCACACAGCCCTGCTCGCCCCAGACTCTGCCCCCTGCCTGGCTCCAGCCGCAGCCGCACAGGATGCCGGACAGCCACGGTGTCCACCCCCACCGGGGGCAGTCGCCCCCTCTGTGGCATCCAGGAGAAGGGTCCCCAAGTGCAGAGTGCCTGTGCGGGCCCCGAGGGCTAACTCTGGCAACATCCTGCTCATCTGAGCTAGAACCGGCCTCTTGATGGTCTCTGCTCGGTGGGCCTAGGCTGGGGGGCTCCCTGGGAGCCCCTTGCTGACTGAGCCGGGCTTCCACAGGTGGGCGACCCGGACCCTCTCTCCCTGCCTGCCCCACCGGCCCCCGTGAGGGCCCAAAGCTCCTCCTGGGCCTCATGGCCTCCTTCAAGGGCCACCTATTTTCATGGGGTGCCCCAGTGTCTCCGGTGTGTCCCCCACAGCCCTCCGAGGAGCCCTCTTCCAAACCCCAGAGCAGGGGGACCTTCCACCCCCCTCCCCCCGAGCTCTCTGGGCACCCCCACGCCGTGCCTGCGTGGCCTGCACTTGTGCGACGCGAGCCCCGGGGACAGCCCCGTTTCCCTCCTGCTTTCCCGGGCCCCGTGGATGTGCTTGGATTTGTCACTGTCCGTTCCGTGCCCAGGGCCGGCTGCCCGCATCCAGGTGCGGCGGCATTGGGCCAGCGTGCTTGGGGACCGTCTCCGTGAGCTGGCCGCTCTGCGCGCCGGGGGCCGCGGGGCCTGGGAACGCTCACAGCTGCATCAGCGTGTTGGCCCGGGGTTCCAGCACGACACACTGCAGCCCACTTGAAGACAATAGTAACGGTGCCCCCAGGGAGCTTTGTATAAGAAAAACAAGCGTTCATCAGCTAAAAATGCGTTTGCGTCCCATTGCTGAGGTGGGAACTGCTTCCAAACCCTCTGTCAAAAATGTTGATTTTCCCAGAGCAGCTGAAGCTCCGTGCGAAATGAACCAGCAGATATCCGCGGATCCTCTTCCAGGGACGTGCAGCTCTCGCATCCCAGAGCCTCTCCCGGGGCTCCTCCACCCCCGCAAGTCACAGCCTCCGGTCAGCCCTGCAGCACGGGGGCCCCAGCTCTGTGGTCCTTCTCCTCCTTGGGGGCCACCCTCTCGGCTGGGTCAGGCCCCAAACCCCGTGGCCTCCTCAGGCCTCCTCCTCTGTCGGGTGGGCGCCCCGCCCGCCCTCTGTGCTCACCCCTGACCCCGGCAGGGCCGACACCTGTTAGCCAAGCAGGAGGGGTGGCCGTGGCACGCACCCAGGGTGGGTTATTTATAAGGAGCCGGTGGCAGCTGAGACGTCCAGAAATAGGCACCAAAATTAGCAAGACACCTCTGCCCAGAAACTCAAGACGGCAGGTGTGGGGGCTGTGGGAGCAGCCCGCCCTCCTCGGCCCTCGCCTCTCCTTGGGCACCCGAGCCAGTCCCCGCTCTTCCACCTTCCCTCCCGCCCCTGGGCCAGAGTCCAGATGGGCACCCACGGGTGCTCTGGGACCGCCAGGCAGGGTGACCCTCGAGGCCCCCCACTCGAAGCAGCAAAGGCTCACTTCTAAGTGGGGAAACCGAGGCACCAGCTCCTCTGCCGAGTGCCTGAAGGCAGTGCAGGACTGCTCTGTTGCCCCCACCGTGGGGTCTGGGTGAGATCCCTGTAGCTGGGGTGGCGTTGGTGGCAGGTGTGCTGGGGCCAGGGGCGGGCACTGCAACAGCTGAGAAGGAAACACTTGTCCAGTTCAATGTTCTGCCCTCAGAGGGGCATGAAAATACCCCATGAGGTCAGCTTCCTGGGCACACACGCCCCCCCCCCGCCCTCCTGCGAAGGGGGCGAGGCCTGGGGTGCAGTGGGGGGCTGCACCTGCCCGTGGTGGGCACTGACCACACCCAAGCCCCACTCTCTCCTTGCCTCATGTCCTCCACGGGTCCCATGGCTTCATGGGGGCGCTGAGCCCCAGCCAGACGGCACCCGGAGGGGGTGGTGTCCAGGGTGGGGCCAGGGGGACCGCACCCAGCTGCACCCCAGCCCCATCCTGGGCACTCTTGTCCGGGAGCTCTGGACGAGGGACCCCAAGGCTGCCTGGGCTCCAGACAGCCCCCTACAGATTCACTCCAGGGGTGACCTTAGACCAGTCCCCGTCCTTCTGCCTCAGTCTTGCCTCCATAAAAGGCCGGTATTTGAGGCAGTGCTGGCCTCCCAGGCCCAGGTCCCAGCCCGCAGGAGCTCTGTGGAAAGGCCAGGTGGGCCAAGGAACCTCATGGCGCCGCGTCGTGGCGGGTGGCCCTCAGAGCTCGGGGTGACCGCTTCTCTCTCACCCTCCTCACCCCTCCTGGTTCCTGCCTTGGGGTGACCCCTCACCCCTAGGGCTTCCACAGGGACCCCAGCTTTCTCCTTCCCTGGCCTCCCGTGCCTGCATCCTGGTTTGGAGCCATCTCTTCCGCGCCTCGCGGATGCTCAGAGAACGTCTTGGCACAGTGTCACGTCCCAGACTCCCGGGCTCTAGGGAGGCCGCCTGGGTACCCGAGCGCTTGGGCTGCCCCAGGACTTCGCGCCCAGGACCCGTGTGGGCCGGGGACGCAGGGCCAGCCAGCAAGGCCGGAGTCCGACTGCCCCGGCAGCTGCTCTTGTCTGTACCAACCTGCGGGCGGAGACCGAAAAGGGCTGGAGCTCCCCGTGGACGGCACCGGCACAGCGCTGCCCACCAGCCGCGCAGCCCCGTGTTATAGTGACACTCGATCTTTCCCAGCAGCCCATTGGCCAGCTGCTGGTGGCCGGGGCGTCGGGGCTGTGCCCACGCAGGCCCCTTACCAAGTATAGGAATGGCCCGCGAAGGAGGCCGAAGGAACCAGGACAGAGGGACGTGCCTGGAGAAGGGGACAAGGTCCTCCCTCCTCCCCAGGAGGTGTCAGCTTCTATTTTTACGCCGGCAGTGGGCACATGCTTGACGTGCCGAGGAGGGGAGCAAGACGGGTGGCCCTGGGGGAGGGTGTCCTGAGGGAGGGGGTCCCCTTCTCCTTGGGCTAGGCTGACATGGGGTCCCCAGAGCTGGGCCCAGGCTCCCCCGTGCCCTGCCGCTCCCTCTGAGATGTCCCGTGGGAGCCGACCTTTCATCCAGGAAAGGGGTCTGCACGGCCAGGGCCCCTCACCCACCTGGCACAATGTCCCAGGCCCGCCCTGGCCCTACCACGGGGAGCTGCCTGAGGTCCTGCCAGGCACCTTAGACGGTGGAGGCCGAGTCCTCAGACAGACCCGTAACCTCTGAGCCTCCAAGAGGCCAGGCCTGTCCCTTGGGTGGTCGCGGTTGGGCACGCAGATTAAATGGGCGCAAGAAGTCCCCAGGCCCTGCTGCCGCTTCGTTTCTGTGGCATCTCCTGTGCTGAGCTGGTGCCTCTGAAGGCCAGCGGCTGTGCCTGGGACCTCGCTGTCTGGGGGTTGAGACCCTCCCCCAAGGTCCTCTCACCCCCAGGGGCCTGGTGTCGCATCTGTGTCCTCATCTCCGAGCGGGCCGTGGAGCCTGGCCTTTCTGTCCTCACGACTCCAGGTGGCACCAACCACCAAGAGACGCCATGCCCAGGCCTCCGCTGGACATGCTGGCCAGTGAGGCCGCAAGCCTAGATGGCCCTGCCCCTTGGATTGGGGAAACTGAGGCACCTGCCCCTGCCCCTCGCTCCCTCCGGGCCCCACGGGCTGAGCACGGACAGTGGAGCCTGTGGCATTGCCCAAGTCAGGGCAAAAGCTGGTGCCTACAGCGGCCAGTGCCCAGGCCAGGGTGGGTCGGGGACGCCAGGGTGACCTGGCCGAGGCCCACTCCAGCTCTGCGCCGGGGCTGGGTCTTCAGACGCCTTCCGGAAGGCTATGGCAGAGATAAGGCCTCAGAGGCCAGAGACGGGCAGGGGCGTGCTGAGGCCACACAGCTCCTCCGCTGCCACCTCCCCACGAGCACCCGACTCGGGACGACCCTCAAGCTGGGCACCTGGGCACGTCCCTGCCCTCCTGGTCAGAACTTGGCATCCTCCAGCCCTGCACGCCTTCCCATCCCCTGCCCAGGTCCTCGGATGGGCGAGGGTTCGGTGGCCACACACAGCCTTGCGCGCTGGACAAGCCTGACTGGCTTCCTGCCTCCTGGGGTCACCTGCAGAGCCCCCTCTGAGGAGGCACCTGAGCCGGCTCCTGGGGGCCACCATCCGGAGCCCTGTCCTCGCCAGCGGTGGGGCCGGCTCCTCTGGCTCTGCTGACAGTTGGGGGCGTGGGGGGCCTGTGCGCTGGGGAGGGCTCGGCCGGGTCCACAGGCCTCGCTAGAGCATGGCCCAGGGAGCCCCGCCTGGCCAGGGTCCACAGGGTCTTCCTGCAGGTGGGCACACGAGGGCCCTGCAGTGGCCCTGCCTGACCAGCAGGGGAGGGTGGCTGCCCGCTCCGCAGGCCTCAGCGTGCCAGGCGCTCTCCTGAGAGCCGGCTGAGGTCAGAGGGAGAGGCAGGTTTTATTTCGGGTGTCAGCGACCTCCCCCCAGGACACCCGGCCTGAGCCACAGCAGATGGCCCAGAGCAGGCAGCACCCGCTGACCACCGAGTGTCGGCGACAGGTAACCCACGCGCGGTGTCACCTGGCCTGGCCTGACCGGGGTCAGGTGGGGGGAGAGCAGGCAGGGCAGGGGCAGGCGGGGGCCATAGACCGGGGTGGAGGCAAGGCCCAAGGGGTCGGTGGGGGCTGATCTCCAGCCCAGGAGGTCTCAAGACTGACTGCAGGGCCCTGGCGGGGCAGCAGGAGGGGCTGAGACGAACCGGGGCAAGGACGGGGCCGTGGGAGACAGGCTCAGCCTCCCGAGTGTCTCAGCTCCGGCGGCTTGCACGGGGGACTCCAGGATGGCAGGGGGTGGCAGCACCCCTCCACCCAGGTCCCAGCCCCCAGTGTGCATGGTTGGGGGTGGCGGAGCCCAAGGGACGCTGAGCCTCTCTGGAGTGCCCTGAGCTGACCCGGGTGCCCAAGCCGGTCCCAGCCTGTGGCAAGTCAGCCCAGCCATGGGCTCGGGCACTGCCAGGCCTGGGACAGGAGCAGCTGACACAGCACTTGGGGCCTGAGCTGCTCCAGCCCCGGGTGGCTGCCGCCCCACACACCCGGGTGCTTCTCCTGACTTTGCAGCTTCGTCGACGTGTTCTGCAGATATTAGGGGGTGTCCCTGTGTGGGGCTGACGTCGGGGACCTGCAGGGATGGCAGCTAGGGGACAGACGGGCCCTCAGGCAGGCAGGATGGATGGTGGAGGGGCAGCGGGCAGGGTTTGACCCCCAGGCTCCCAGCAGCAGGGCTGGGGCCACTGTGGCTGTGGGGGAGGCTGTGTCAGGAACACTGCAAGGCTGAGGCTGAGCTTCTCAGAGGGACAGACCCTGGGTCCTCATCCCCAAGGCCAAGTCAAGGGCTGGAGGATCCAACAGGGCCCAGGCTGGGGGTCGGGGAGTGCTGGCTGCCTCTTGGTCCTTGGTGCCGTCCACTCTGGGCCCCAGGGCTGGGCCCAGCTCACTGCCACTGTGTCCCTGGGGCTGCCTCTGCCAGCTGCCCCCGGTTACCGTCCCCTTCAGACTAGATGGAAAGGGAAGGAGCCCCTGTCACCTGGGAGAGGGTCTCTGACTGGACATGGCATGGCCCTCATGCTCTCTCACGGACCGGGCCATGGGCAGACAGGACGGGGGGTCTTGGCCTCTCTGGGGGCAGTCCCTTTGGCCAGCAGTCAGGAGCCTCTTTCCTCCCCTAGGCAGTCAGGGGCAGAGCTGGGCAGAGAGTGGGAAGGGAGAGGCCAGAGGCTCCAGGAGCAAAAGGAGGGGGGGTGTCAAAGGCGTGAGGGCAGCCAGGCTGGTGACAGGAGGCGGGTTCTTAGCCAGGGCTGTGGCGGCTGTGCCCTGTGCAGTTTCAGCCATTCCATGTGCACGAGGCAGGCAGAGTGTGACCGCGGATTCTTCAAAAGATGGAGGCTCCGAGTGACAGGGGATGGCAAGGTCCAGCCTAGAGCATCAGAGGTCAAGGGGGGCCTGCTCTTCCAAGGGGCTCCCCAGGGCAGCAGGGCTGAGCATGAGCCCAAGTGTGGGCCCAGGGGAGGAGGGAGAGCCGGAGAGGACATTCCCCATTCCCATGTCACACACTTGTCCCTTCACCCACTGGTCGAGTCATTCTCATGTATCCATCTCATATGTCCTGCGCTCTTTCCTCCTTTCATTCTCCTTCCCTTCCTTCCTTCCTTCCTCCTCTCCTTCCACCATCATTCATCCATCTACACATCCATCCAACCACCATCCATCCACCACCATCCACCACCCACCATACACCCACCACCCATCCATCCACCCTCCATCCACCACCCATCTACCACCATCTATCTACCATCCATCCACCATCTATCCCTCCATCCATCCATCCACCACCATGCACCACCCACCATCCACCCACCACCCACCCATCCATCAATCACCATCAATCCACCATCCATCCATCACCCATCCACCATCCATCCATCCATCATCCAACCACCCATCCATTCACCATCCATCCACCATCTATACATCCACCATCCATCCACCCTCCATCCACTACCATCTATCTACCATCCATCCACCATCTATCCCTCCATCTATCCATCCACCATCCATCCACCACCCATCCATCCACCACCCAACCACCCATCCATTCACCATCCATCCACCATCTATCCATCCACCATCCATCCACCCATCCACCATCCATCCACCACCATCCATCCATCCACCATCCATCCATCTATCCATCTACCACCTGTCCATCCATCCATCACCATCCATCCACCACCCAACCACCCATCCATCCACCATCCATCCATCCATCTATCCATCCACCATCCACCCATTCACCATCCATCCACCCATCCACCCACTCATCCTGTCCATCCATCCACCTGTCCATCCATCCACCCACCCATCTGTCCATCTGTCCATCCACCAAACCTTCACTAAGCACTGCTTAGGTGCTGGGATGGACGATGACCCTGAGGTGAGTCATGCCTTCAGCAGGCACACAGTCAGAGTACAGGTTTACAGTGGGCCAATCAAGAGGGAGATGTGACGACATTCTGGAAAAGGAAGGCTAAACCCCACTCATTGCATGGGCACTAACTTAGGCCACCACAGACTTCATATCCTGGTGCCTACCACTGTGGAAAGCCACAGGACAGGGCAGAAGGACATTACATGGTGTGGGGCTGTGTCTCCCAGCCAGCCCCACTCCCTCATCCCCCTCAGTGAGCATGGCGAGTCAGTGCATAGGGACACAAGGAGCTTTATTGCATGATGTGGGGTGGGCCGCGGTGCAAGCAGGGGCAGGAGAGGCACAGAGTCCTGAGCATCCAGCGCAGGTGTCGGCAGCTCTTGGCCTGGAGATCACCCTGCAGGTACCCTCATATCTGGTGGGGTGACCAGCCCCCTCTCTGCACAGGTGGCACCTTGTTCTCCTGCCTTCCCTGAGAGCTCTTGGCCTCTCTGAGGGGCAGTCCCTTTGTTCAATGATCAGGAGTCTCTTTCCTCCCCCAAGCAGTCAGAGGCAGAGCTGGGGTCAGAGAGCAGGAGGGGAGAGAGGCAGGAGGGTCCAGGAGCAAAAGGAGGTGGTGGGGGGCTGTCAAAGGCGTGAGGGTGGGCCAGGCTGGTGACAAGAAGCGACTTCTTAGCCAGGGCTGGGGGCAGGTGTCTGGCCGGAATCTCCCCTGGGAACATGGAGGGTGCTGAAACACAGTGTGGGGTGCAGGGAGTGTAAGGCTGGGGTCCAGGAGGGGCCACAGCCTGCCTCCCCGCTCCCTCAGGCCGGGGGCCTCTCTCTGGTGGCCGCCAGGGCCCTGCCCACACCGGCTTCTTGCTGCAGAAGGCTCCCTGCTCCGGCCTCTGCCTCGGATACCTGCTTCCCAGTTTGTGCTCGCGCCTGGGTCGCCCCGGCTTGAGACCCGTCTCCAGGTCCAGGGAATGCTGCCTTCCCACCCCAAGCCTGGCAGCCCCTGGAGCTAGATCTGAGGTTCCTGCGGCTCCTGCGGCCCCTGCCCCCCAGAGAAGGCCCACAGCTGGGAGTGAGCCCCGGGCAGACTCCTCCTGGCCGCTCCCCAGGCAGATACGCTCCTGCCTTGGCAGACCAGCCCCCGCAGCGGCAGCCCCCTGGCCTCCTCCCCCGAAACCAGACAGCCTCTGGCTCAGCCCAGATGCCATTTGTCAATGTCCTTGCAAACACGTGGCGCCCAGAAACCAGGGCGGGCGGCTTGGCTGGGACCACCCCAGCCAGGAGGTCTGCGGGAATATCCCATTCAGCGTAGCTCAGCGAAAATTGCTCCCACCTTCCGGCCAATCTACCTCTGATGATGCAGCCTCAGCTTTCCTGAGCCTGCTGGCCGCCACTCCTCACCGCTGGCTTGCAGCGGACGCGCCTGTGGTCAGCCGGCGACGGCGCGGCGCCCCTCACGTGTCTGCGGGTAGCCCGCTCTTCCTGCCCGCCAGGCCGGCAGCCGACCAGGCCCACACCTCCCACTTGGAGCTCCCCGGGGCCTCCTGCGCCATGCCGCACCCCGCTCTGTGCCAGGGCAGCATCAGGGACACAGCCCCGGAGGCAGGCTCCAGCCCTTGTCGCCTACCGAGTGACCTCAGGCCTCCATTGTCTCATTTCTACACTCAGGTGACAGCGTAGCCACCCCATAGAGTCACCAGTGTACACACAAGCTTAGAACGCACCGGGCAGGCTGTGGGCTGTCAGGGTCCCACACTCCAGGCCCACGGTCCTCCACACACCACGGGAGACAGCAGCCCGCACTCACGGGCTGGCCAGCCTGACCACCCTGCCTCCCTCCCCAGGACACAGAGATGCTCATCTCAGCTGTGTCAACGCCCCCTGAGGCAGCTGGCCCGAGACTCCAGGGACCACCTGGACCCCCACCGCCCCTGCTGCCCAAGCCCGGGAAGGACAACCTGCGTCTGCAGAAACTTCTGAGAAAGGCAGCCTGGAAGAAGACGAAGGGGACTGGGGCCCCCGCCCTACCTGGGGCCTTCCGCACCTCCCTGTCCCCCGTGAGTGAGGCCAGCCACGACCAGGACACCATGGCCCCGCACCCCGCAGAGGTCCCCCGCGTGGTGGCCACCCTACCCCACTCCCTGCACGCCCCTGTCATCTACCACGTGGCGTCACCCCTGCAGAAGTCCACCCTCTCCCTTGGCTTCGCCCAGCGCAGGATCCTGGCCACTCACGTCAAGGCTGCTGGGTCCCAGCCCACAGCCCCGGCCCCGGAGCCTGCCCGGCCTCCCGGGGGCTTTGTCCCCGTCATGGCCCCAGCAGCGGAAGGCACCCACGTCACCCAGGTGCACGTCCGCATGGCACCGTCCCCACATGCTGGGACCCCCGAGCCCCCCAGGGCAGCCCCAGAGGGGGGTCCCAGCAGCCAGGACCAAGATGCAGCCCCAGGCCCTGGCAGGGCCCAGCCTCTGGCCCCGGTGGCTCACATCCACCCACTGCCTGCCGGGGCCCAGGCTGCCAGTCCCTGCCCCGAGGAGCCCCCTGCACCAAGGCCACCACCCGGCTTCCAGGCCTCGGTGACCCGAGAGGCCAGCACCAGGGTGGTGGTGCCCGTGGCCCCTACCCGCCGCTCGCTGGGACCCTCGCCCCAGGGCCCGGGCCCTGTGGCCCCAGAAGCTGAGCCGCTGGAGAAGGCCGCCATGGCTGGCCCTGCCACGGAGGTGGAGCCGATCTCCAGCCCCCCGGGGGCCCCGTCCCCTGTCCCTCCGTCAGGCCCCCACCCCTGCCCTGTCCCCAAAGTTGCACCCAAGCCCCGGCTCAGCGGCTGGACGCGTCTCAAGAAGCAGCTGATGGAGGAGGCAGAGGAGCCCCCCCTTCCCGAGCAGAGGCAGAGCTCGGAGCCCGTGAAGCGGGAGGTGCCCGCCCCCGCCAACCCCCTGCCCCCTGCCTCCCGGGCTTCCAGGATGTGGGACGCAGTCCTGTACCGCATGGCGGTGGCCGAGTCCCGCAGCCGCCCAGCGGGGCCCAGGGAGGGGGAGCGCACCCTGGCTGGCCTCACCCGCCTGCCCTTTCTGTGCCGGCCTCGCTTCGACGCCCGGAAACTACGGGAGGCCGCCCGGCCTCCTCCCATGTTCTACCCCCTCCCGGAGCTGAGCCCCCAACCCAAGAACTTCAACCGGACAGCAGCCGGCTGGAGGCTCCAGTGAGGGAGCCGGGGCGGCCCCAGGACCAGGACCCGCGGGGTGGATGGGGAGGGCTGAGGCTTTAGCTGGGGGGCCACGGCCACCGCGAGAGGGAGCGCAGAGGTGGAGGGGCGCTAGGTGCCGGGGCGGCGGGAGGGGTGAGCCGGTTGCTGAGGGAGGTCGGGAGAGGCAGGCCGGGGCACGGAGCAGGAGGGACAGGCTGGAGTGTGGACAGGGCGTGTGGAGTGGTCTGTGTTGGGGTGCAGTGTCGGGGCTTATGGGGTGACACTCGGTCAGATGGAGGACACATAAGTCTAAGATGAAGCAGAGGGTGGCACCCCTAGGCCTCCTGCCAGGCCAGCCCTGCAGGACCCCCATCTGCCCTCGAGGACTGGGGGCGGGGTGGCTGCTGCCGTGGACAGTGGGGGCACTCGGGTGGCTGTGGGCACTATAAGCTGTGGCAGCAGTCGGGTCCCTGTGCTTCCCGGGGACGGAGCCAGACCCCAGGCCCGGGCCAGTCGGCACAGATGTGGGTGCTGATTAGGAGGCCAGGCCGTGACCCCTTCACGGCCACCTCTGCTTCCCCCACCTGGGCTGGCAGCCTGAGGGCCAGGGCCCGAGGGCCTTGCTTACGGGAGGGAGAGGGCCAGGGTCTGAGCCAGGCCAAGATGCTGGGTGGGCAGGGTGTGCGCAGCCCTGGGGCTGGGACGACAGCCCGGCTGAGCCTGGGCGGGGGCCATGGAACAGCCCCCCGGCTGCAGTCAGCCATGGAGACAGGGACACAGGTACCAGGACAGGCCCCTGGCACAGCGGTTCAGGATTCAGGGTGCAGGAGGGGAAGGAAGCAGGGGGTAGAGCTGCTGCCCCACGCTGGGATGTAAGGGGTGCTGTCCACGGAGCTGGGGCCAGGCCACTAATAAATGTGTGTCGAACCACGGCAGGGTGTCACCTGTCTGTCTTCATCAACGGGTAGGGAGGGTAGCAGAACCCCAAGTGGCCCTCAGCTGGGACAGGAGGTGAGACCTAGACCCTCGGCCCACTGCCGGGTGGGGAGCCCAGGTCCTGGGGGCTATGTCCCATCCTCCTTCAGCGCTAGCCCCACGGTGGCCAGGCTGCCCTCACTTCCCCAGTGAGCCCCGCTGGGACTTGGCGGGAGTCCCAGGGTAGCATCACCCTGCCCTGGCGGGGCGGAGGCTGAGCCAGGCTGATTCTGGCGGGAGGAACAGAGTTTGAATCTGGCATAAGAGAGGGTGGTTGCGTCTGCATGGGGCAGGGACGCTGAGCCGACCCTGGGGTCTGGCGGGCTCAGAGCCCACCCTCGCAGCCCGTAGCAGGAACAAACAGGCCCTGCTCACGCCGCCACCTCCCCAGAATGGCGCGCTCTGGTGGCTGCTCGGACTCACCGGAGGGGCCTAGGGCGCCGAGCCCCCATCTACCAGCACCTTCTCGTACTTCCCGTGTCCGGTGGCCACAAACTTATACCTCTTCCCGGACGGGGTGCTCTGTTGGGGAAGGACATCGAGAATAAAGGTGAGACTGGCAGAAGAGAGATGGCTGCCTCCAGGAAGCCCTCCTGGATGCACAGCGGACAGTCCCTCTCCACTCTTGCCTGCTGCACCACCCGCCTCACACCAGCTGCACCCGGACTCTACCTTCACTGTTGACGAGGTCTTGGAGCCTCCCTTTTGCTCCCAGAGGCTCTTCTTGCTCATGTCTCCAGCTACAATGTCCTGGGGGCAGAAGGACAGGTCCCAGGCACAGACCCCTGGCCCTTCTCTCCTGCCTGGTCTTACCCACCAGGGGCCCAGGACCTGCCCACCTCGCCTGTGTGGGCGGCCCCAGCAGAGGCAGCACAAGGCGAGGAAGAACACCAGCTTCGCCCCGCCAACTCGGCCTAGACGCCGGGAAGGGTCCGCCTCGCCCCCCACAGCCGGCGCTCTGTCTATTCCACTTTGTGCCGGATGGCCCCACGCTTGCCTTCCCGAGGGGAGCCCAGCCTGCTGCTGACCGACCTCCCAGGCTCTGCACAGCCACACGGGGGCCCTACCTTGCAGGAAGGGGTCTTGGCCGCGGACTGAGCCTGCACCTCTCCCGTCTCCCACCGGCTCTTGGTACTAGCGACGGCCATGCTGGGAAGCTCTACAGAGGCCTGGCGGGCCAGCCTGGGGGCCCGGCCGGCACTCTGCGGAGGAGAGAGAGCCCCGCACTGCTACAGCGGACAGCCGCGATGGGACACACCCGCGGTCCCACGGGGAGACCCCCTCTGTCTCTGCATCTTCCCTGGGCATGCTCCCCGTTGCAAAACGTGGTGCACGTGGGAGACGCCCCTTGTTCTGGAGAGCGCGCCTGCCTGCGCGTGGGCGGAGCGCTGGCTGGATGCGGGTGTGTTGGTTAAATAGAAGGCTGTTGGTGGCTTGGAGGAGTATTGGTTGGGCGGAGGGGCATTGATTAGAGGGAAGGGTGCTGATGGGATGCAGGGGCACTGCCTGGGTGGCAGGATGGTGCCTGGGCGGAGGAGGGACCCGCGGCACGGGGGGCCTGGGCATACCTCGATGGCCTGCGTGTACTGCTCCAGCCGCTCGTCAATCTTGGCGATGGGCAGGGTGGGCTGGGACTTCTTCACGCTGTTGCTGGAGGATGGGAGTGGGGTCAGGCCCCTTGTCCCCCACCCGGCTTCTGCCAGCCCAGCCCAGCCCCTCCTAGAGCCCCCCAGGCCTCCAGGTCTCTACCCCTCAGCCACCATCTCCAGCCCCCTCTGGAGAGACCTGGGCTCCGGAACAGGGGCCGACACACACCTCTTCTCTATGGAGCGGTTCAGAGACTCCGTCCTGTCGACGAGCTGCGGGGTGGGCAGACGTGTGGGCTTTGGGCAGTGGAGGCTGTGCCGGGGCTCTGGGCCCCTGAGTTTCCCACCCACCCACTCTATGTGCCAGGACTCGCCGGGGGCCGCCCACACTGGCTGGGCCTGCACCCTGCCTTCCCGGGCTGACGTGCGGGCCGTCCTATAGGCCACAAGTCTGGGAGGGGGACAAAGAGGACAGCTTTGGAGCTTGACCTACTTTGGTGGTGGGGCTCAGGGGAGGTGAGCCCAAGGCGTCGGGTGTCCTGGGCTGCCGGCATGCCTGGTGCTAGGAAAAGAGAAGCCAGATGCCCCAGGTGACCCCTGCTCGCACTCTCCTGCCCTGCCCAGCACCTCGTGGGCAGACGCTGTCCCTCCCGGGGCCTCCAGTGCTCTCTGGCCCCGACAGGCGACAGGCCCCAGCTCTGGGACCGGTGGGTCCCGGGCCCTGTCTCCTCCTCATGCAGGAGGAACTTGCCCAGAAGGTCCCCAGCCTCACCCCCTCTGGGAATGTGGGCCCGGGGTGGGGTGCTGGCTCCCAGGCCAGGCCCGCAAGGCGCACAGAGGGTGGCAAAGACAGCCCAGCCAGGCCAGGGGTGTGCCCAGGTGCCCGTGGGGGAGTGTCACCTCCTCCTCTGCCTCCTCAGCCTCCGCTACCCCCAGCGTGTCCTGGAAGGCCTCGTGTGGGCTGGGCCCCTCCTGGCTCAGACACGGCTCCTCCAGGGGGGCCTCATCCGGGTGCAGGTCCCCATCCTCACTCCCGCAGGTGTGCGGGCAGGGCCTGGGGTGGGAGGGAGGCAAGCTGACCCACGGCCATGTGATTGCTTGGTTCCGGTCCCACCCCAGTTCCAGCCTCAGTTTCCCCACCTGTGAGTGCTGAGCAATTCTGAGACCTGAGTCTCTTGGAGAAAGGAGGCCCAGAGACCCCATAGCCAGCCTGTGCCCTTGGGCCTCTGTGTGGAGGCCTGAGGCCCCTCGGTGACTGCCCATCCCCCGCCAGGCAGGCCTCTCCCCTAGGCCTGGCCCTCCCCCGGCTTCCTGGACAGGCCCGGCCTGGAGGCCTCCTTGCCCGGGACCACCCTGCGGGTCTGGCTGTGCCCCTGGGTCCCCGCTGCCCGGCCGCCTGCCCCCGCCCTGCTCCGCGTGAGGGCGAGTGGGTCGGGGAAGAGGGTCCACGGTGTGCGGGCCGCTGCCACCCTGAGGAGGAGGCCGCGGGGGGAGGGGCTGGGCCAGCTGGCAGCGGCGCGGCTCCGCGTTTGCGCGGGACGGAACCTGGAGGAGATGGGAAATCTCGCATTTTCCATGACTTCAGGCCCCTTGGTGTACGTGCCAGCCAAGACCCAGACCCACCCGCCGAAGGTGGGCGGCGGAGCCAGCAGCCACACAGAGGGGCCATTCAGGGGCTCCCGCCGGCGCGGGCAGGTGCGGGGGTGGGGCGCAGCCCTCCAGCAGTTCCAGCAGAAGAGTCAAAGTGCCCCCTGCTGTCGGGACGCGGTGGCGGCGGGAGCCTCGTGCAGGCCAAGCCGCCCCAGCTCAGAACTGCAGAGTGCCCTGACTCCCGGGGGCAGATGGGGAAACTGAGGCCTGGGGAGAGGAGTGGTGGGCAGCAGGCCAGGCCAGGACCAGGGCCCCAGGTGGGCAGTGGCTCTCGGAGTGCGGAAGCCCAGCTGTAGGAGGAAGGGGAGCCGTCCTAGCTGGAGCTCCAGGCGGGGGAGGGGGGGCAGGGAAGGACCCCAGTAAGGCAGCCCGGCCACAGGCTCCAACCCACTCAAGGCAACAGGGGCCTGACCCCCAAGCCTGGAGCCCCTGGACAGAGCTGGGCCCCCACACGGCCTAGGCGTCGGCTGTGGCCGTAGGGCAGGAGGAGGTGAGGTGAGGCTCTGGGAGCAGCCCCCTCCTCGGGCCCTGGGGTGCTCTGGGCCCCCTTCCTGCCTCAGTTCAGACAGGCACACACGTCCACACATCTGGCTGATGCTCAGGCGTGCACATCTGGAAATACCTGCTCCCCTCCGTGGGAATGGAGATCCGCCAGCCCCCGGGGAGGAAGGGGCGGCAGGCGCGGGGCCTCCATTGCGTCAGCGGGCTGCAGCTGCTGCTGACGCGGCAACACCCCGGCCTCGCAGCTGGGCTGGAGGGGCCCAGGGGCCCTGGGGAGCCCAGGGATGAAGTTTCCTCACCGCCCCCTCGCAGCCCCCGGCCAGCCGCCACGCTGTCTCGCGCCCTTCCTCCCTCCCTCCCCTTCCCAGGCGTGGGGCACTCGGGGGCTGGTGGGAAGGGGGCAAAGGCCATCGCTCAGGTGCAGGTTGGGGGCTAGAGGGAGCCCGTGCGCCCAGCACCCCTCACTTGCCTTTGAGCCTCTGGCTTGCCCTCGGGGCTCTCACACTGAGGGGGCTCTCCGCCGCCCGGGGTCCCGCCGGCCCCGCAGCCCGGCCGCTGCTCTGGCTTCTGGGACCAGTCGCCAAAACCCTCGTCCTCGTCCAGTTCAGGAGCCCCTGAGGGCTCCAGGCCGAGGCTGCAGAGCAGAAGGGGAGTCGGGCTGGGCCTGTGGCTACGCTCCTTAGCTTGGCCCTCGCCCCAGCCCCCCGGCCCTCAGACCCTGGGCCCAAAGCGTGGGAGACCCCCACTGCCAGAGGTGGCGAATCAGGGCTAGGCTGTCTCCCC